TTTTTTTTTTTTTTTTTTTTTACTAATGCTAGACATTGTGCATTTTAGCCATTTTTGTCCTGGATGGTTTTTGTTTTCCTACAAATATTCTTGAGATTTATTCCCAGTTAAATACCTTCATAATAGTTTGATTCTTTGGGGTCTTGGCTTTTACAGCATGACAGGTGGGACTGGAATAGACCTCAGAGTAGGAACCATTATTCCCCACTCCTGAGGCAAAAACCCTAAGGTGTGAATCTTGAAGTTTTCCAATCTTGTACTGTGTGAGTACAGCCCTGTTACCACTGATCCCTTTGGGAAGTCTTTCCCTAGCCTTGGACAGTTTACACATACATCTCCAGATCAATACTAATACTAAGCTGAACTATTCAGTTGTGATCTCTGAGTTTCTCTGTCTTTAAGAATTTCTCCTCTTTAGTACCCTGTCCCTGGTGTGCCTGCACCTTCAACTTCTCCTCATAGCTCCCCAGGCTACCAATGAGTTTCCCCTTTCTACATTTTGGCCCGAAAACTCAGAGGACCAGAATATTTGCTTATCCTTACCATCGTATTCATACACTACAGGACAGAACCCTGAGGGATCTCAAGAGAATCCCTTGACTTGTGGCAACAGTTATTCAGATCAAGTCTGATGTGAGTCTGTTTGCTAAGAGCAGTAACTAAGTTAAATATAGCAATTGCAGGTGACTTCCTTGGCGATGTAGGTAGTTCTCCAGCTGGCCGGTCCTACCTGTCTATCTTTAGAAAAACGTTTACATAAGCTTTTCATCACTTTTGTAAGTCGTTCATTCATTCCACTGACATTTACTGACCATTTAATATGTGCCAGACTCTTGTCACTCACTAATCAAATTCGTGCTCTTTTCAGAGTACTTTTTAAATACTAGTTTTTCTCCTAATCCAGGCAGTAGTTGTAGGCTGCCACATCTAAATTGTTATTATGGTGATTTTGATGTAAAAGATTAATTACTTGACTAACATGGTATTTTGCATAGGTTTATATGTAAATTTAGAAATTATAAACATCATATTTCTTTTATTGTCTTCCCAGGCCTATCAGAATTATGTTAAAAAGAATGGTGCTGAAAAATTACTCCCTGGACTTGACCTAAATCACAAACAACTGTTCTTCCTGAACTTTGCCCAGGTACTACATCTTTCTTGATTGATACATGTGAAAATCATTTTGAGTTGTGATTTCACAGTAAGTGAGGTATTATACACTGAGTTTTCTTGTTTTAATCAATTGTGCCAGAACATTTGACTTGAGTAACTTTCATTTTTTATAACAATGTCAGATCATATTCTAGTAAATAATGACACTCCTACTTGCCTTTCATTGAATGTTATTTGAAGAACTAATCATTGAGGAATGCAGAATACCAATTTAATTCTGCTTTTGTCCCCAACCATCCCAGACAAATTATCTGTGATTAGAATTGAACGCACTGCTTTGCTTTTCCCAAACTCCCCCTAGGTGTGGTGTGGGACCTACAGGCCAGAGTACGCAGTCAACTCCATTAAAACAGATGTGCACAGCCCGGGCAATTTCAGGTACGTGGGAATGAGTCAGGGTGCTTCCACATTTGGAATTTGGCCTTCTGTAATCTGATTCTGTAACATGTGGGAATCTGATGCAACCTAACATGCTATCTCAACACCAAGGTTCTGGGTTCAATCTCCAGTACCACAACTGAACAAGAAAAATTACTCACTCGAAAACTGTTTATTTTATGACGTTATGCCTAATTTCTGCATAATGTGAGCGATGTTTAGTTCTGCTAGTGCATTTAGTTCTGGGAGTATGTATTAAAAATTTCTTTGTTTAAAATGCAATCCCAACCTTCTTCTTGCCTTAATATGGTATCCTGAATCCTACCTAATTTTCTGATGAGATAGGCTACCATTATGATCACTAATGAGGATTTGGGTGTTTATTAATTTAGTGAAATCTTCTAAAACTGTTGTATGTATAATTCTTTATTGGCATACCATACCAGTGGTGAAGCCTTTTCTTACATTGTGGTGTTTTTTTTCATATATTGTGGTTTTCCTGTACATTTGTGTTTTCCCTAATACTAGATATTACTTCATCTCTGTGCCTCAGTTTCTTGTCACATAAAATGCTGGTTAAATTACTGTGAGAGTTGCTGGAAGATTAACGTCAATGCGTGTGAAATGCCTATTGCAAATATGCATTTGGAAAAGTACCAGGATTATTTCTAGATCAGAGGTTTAAACAAAATAAAAACTTTGTGGAAAAAAGTATTTCCATATCACCTAAGAGTAAAGCACTTTATCTTACTCATTTCTTATGTTCAGCACAGTCCACGATATCAATAATTGATTAGTGGTTAAGTGATACACAGGTTAGAATTTAACTGTTTTCCACCCCTCAAATGTGAATTGAAAACAACATTGATTATAATAAATATGTGGGATTATTTGTGTCTTTTTTTGTTGTTGTTCTGGCTCCAAAGATAACTCTTTGACTATGTTTCATTCATAATAACAAAGGTATGTGCATGTGTTTTTAAGGGCAAAATGGATGCCAACCTTTTGTCAAGGAAACTATTATTTTTCCCTCGGAGGTAAAAGGATTTCCTTGGCAAAAGGTTGAGGTTACATTTAGTTTTGGAAACAGGCTGTTTCCTGGCTATACAAAGTAAAGCAGTTTTTAAAGAACTTTAAAAACTAATAGACATTCAACATGCAAAAGTTGTACTCCATGGTGTATATAAAAAAACATTTCCAAAATAGAAAATTTGTAATTTTACGCCTAAATAGCAATAATATTTAAAACAAAAGCCAAATATACTTCATATAAAGGTGAAACCCATAAAACTATATTTTTATGTCTCATCTATGATTGTTTAGTTCTTCCTAAAACCTTACCTATTTTAATATAAACGCTTAAAGTCTTCAAAAGTTAAAACACAAAACATTTCACAATGAATATGCTAGAAATTAAATCCATAACTTAAACATTGCCTTCTTTTTGAAAACCCAATTTTTAGTTAGCCATGATCCCATAATTACACTTACTGTATAATCAACAAGTGTATTTCTGAAATTATATAGATATAATAATTCTGTATTATATATGTGAGGGTCTCATGATTTTTAAAAAATACGTTAAACAAAAATTATTTAAGTACTTCTATTGCCCAATATTATCTCCCAAACATGGAAAAACACTTGATAGAAACCCAAAATATAAATAAAGAGCAATATAAAAGATAGATAACAGGAAAGAAGATAGATCCTTTGTAAAAGATGGTGGGAGTGGGAGTAGGAGAGGGAATGCCATGAAGAAAAGAATTAAGATGTGTTATTTACAAGTTCCAACTCCACGAGAGGAATGTAATCAAGATGTACTGGAAGTATGTACTAATAAAAAACTGAAAAAGTAAAAATAAAATCCAAGTTGCTCAATCAGGGAAAAACCTAACACCACTAACAAGTCAAGTAATGCTTTTTCCAGCTTAATTTCCAGTATTTTCAAAAGAATATTGTTTCTTATATTTTATAAAAATATCTTCAACTAAGTATACTCCTAATTTGTTTCTTATCATTTAGTATGCTTAAGCTAACCACACATGTTTTCTCTGCTTACCTTAAATTTTAACCTTGGATCCTGATATTGTGGTGAGCTTTTTAGAATTCCTGTTAGCTTCTATTCGTATTTAGTACTTAGTAAATATCCCTTCCACCTTTTTTTTTCCTTTTGATGTTGAGCATCAACATAGGGCTTCCACATAACAGCAAATACTAGGCATGTGCTCTGCTGTTCAGCTACACTTCCCAGCCTCACTTGTATTTTGCACTACTGGGGACTGAATCGAGGGCCTCAACGTGCCAGGCAAATACCATACCACTAAGCTAGACTGCCAGCCCTGATCTCTTCAAGTCTATGTAGTGGGACACACACTCATCACTGTGACTTTGCTCTGAAAGAATCAAACAAATTATTTAATGATAAAGATGAGGTAGATTCTTCATGGATGAAGCCAGTTAAAATTGTAGCCAAATAATTCACTTAAAAGAAGTAATAATAGGTTGTCAGAGGACCTATTAATAGTAAAAAGTATATTCACTAATTTAAATGTCCAGTTACTTGTAGGCAGAAATAATCAAATATGTTGGATGTTCAATTCCATCTCTTAAATGTTTTTAATGCAACTTACCAGTTTCCAAGGCAGTAGCATGACACGATTTTTTATAATGCAGTAAAAATTTCAAACAAACCACCTTAAGAAATAATGAAAACATTTATATTTTGTTACTAAGCATATAAATGCAAGAGCTATGGTGTTTTAATATAGCTTGTAATTCATTTAGTATTTTATATTATATGAATGAAATATTAGCTCATTTTTGAGAAGGGATTCATTGTATAAATTAATGTAGCCACTTTCCAAACGATTATTCAGATCACCCATCCAAAGATTTAATGTTATTAACACCAAACATTAGTTAGAAACCTGTGTTAAGTGAAGCCCTAGTGTGTTGTTGACCTAATTATTCAGAATCAGATTATCTGAGTGAAGTCTTAGGTAGAAGAAGGAGATGAAATGGAGATGAAGAGCTGAGTGTGTATCAGGCAGAGGGTTTCTGTGCCCATAATTTCCAGTGATGTTTTCCAAAAACCTTGTTTATTTGTTATGTTTTTAAATTGAGAGAAATATAAAATTAAGTCATAATTTGGGGCTTTTTTTACCCAAGTATTTGCTCCCATATGACTAAATCAAAGACAATCCTTTGGAAAATTTGCAGTAAACTAAAAGCAAAAAGTGCAGTTTTTCATTTCTTTCTCACACATATTCTGAAAAGCAGGGAACTTGTTCCATGGCATGAGGAACGTCCAGGCCACCATGATGACTCTGTCCAGCCAGCCAGTGACTAGCACATTTCAGATGTAAGAAATGGACACAATAAACCAAATTAAACCAGGCTCCATGCTCATAGCCTAAGGTAGAAAGTAGAAGGTTAAATTTCAGTAGTTTTTCAGTACACCACAATACTTGCTAGGCTTTCATAGGAGTCCTCCGCCCACACCTGACTTGTTTGGAAGGGAGGTGGATCACGGGCACGCCATTCTCATCTCAGGGGATTAACCCACTTAAGAGTTCATAGCTGATTTGATATTCGGCGGTAAGACCTGGTCTGAAGAAGCAGTTAACTGACCAATGCCCTGGAGGGGTGTATCTCTCTCACCGGCTCCTCCTTTCTGTCTCCACTTCCTGGCCACCATGATGTCTGCAGCTTTCCTCTACATAGGTCCTTCCACCTTGCTATTTCTGCCTTGGAGCAGACAATGAACTGAAACCTTTAAAAAACCATGAGTCAAAATAAACCCTTCTTCCTTTACATTGGATGCTCACAGTCTCAGGGGTCCATCTGAGTCTGGTGCCTGTTTCCTTCCAGTGGTCATAAGCCAGGGCCTCCATAGCCTCCGTCCTTCCTGTCAGGTTCACCGGCAGCCACATGCCATCCCCTCTGGCTCTTGTCATTAACACAGGCTGAGTCACTGCGGCCCAGGGCCGTGGAAGCTAATTCTCTCCCTCTCAAGTGAACTAACAGATAAAAACTCTTGGCTTTGACCCCACCACATTTGTGGTGACAAATGCCAAGTGGTACCGATGGCAGCATATCTGCCACAGATAGAGATTCTGGAAATTAGAAGACTCCCAGCAAATGCTTCTGTCTTCCACTACTCTGTACATTTGACTCCAGGACCTTCATCCCAGCTCAAGCTGGGTGTGGTGCTGGTCCCAACAAGAAGAGCAGGGAGTAGCTGGCTCATGCTCGGCATGACACATCACCTCTGGATCATTGTATTGCCTTGTCTCTCCCCTCCAGTGCTGCCTTGTGCTGGTAGTGGGTTACATGTTGTTGTTTTTGCCCATTTGGGTCAGAGATAAGAAGAAATGGGCATTTTTCCAGTCCTTTCCAGTTATTCAGGCTGAATCCAGTTCCTGACATTTAAGGAGTCCTTTTTGGGGGGGACAGATTTCTCTAACTTTCCTACTAAAGCAAATCAATATCTATTAAAAGCAAGTTATGCTTAAGTTATTGTAGGAACCTTTTTAAGTACAGTGAGAAATCATTTTATTCTTTGACTATACTTTTTATAAAAACTGCAATTCCCAATGTGAATTGTTCATTCATTTAAAGTATTTGTAAATTATTAATTCTCCATTAAAATTTTAAGATGCAGGCACTATTATTATATTTATTTTACAAATGAAGCAACTGAGGTACAGAGAAGCCTTATAATCAGCTTTCAAACCATGCAGTTTATCTCCAAAATCTGTGCTCTCAACTGCTATACTTTGTTACCTGTCCGTTTTTTAAAAGTCTGTCAATTAGAAAGAGTTAGCTCATGATACCAGCTTTTTTCCTTCCCTTTGAAATTTTAAATTCCAGATCCACTCACTTGTCTTCCACTAAGAAATTTTACAGGGCTTCAACATAGTATGGACATAAATATTAAATGCTTATGGTGACCTTGTTTTTGTTTGTTTGTTTGTTTCAAAGGATTATTGGTACTTTGCAGAATTCTGCTGAGTTTTCAGAAGCCTTTCATTGCCGGAAGAATTCATATATGAATCCAGAGAAGAAGTGTCGGGTTTGGTGATCTTTGCAAGAGGCAGTGCATCCCTTGGCTCGACTTGCCAACACCACAGAACTGGGGAACTCAAGCTGGGAGAAAGTTGGCCCCAGATGCCACTGCAGTTACTTGGGCTAATAAATGAGAGCATCGTAATTCAAGTGAAATTGGGTTATTCTGGAAAAAAGTATGGAAGGAAGAGGGGGGTCTGAGGTCTGTCAAATCAGTCACTTCTCACATGTAAATAATGATTAATTCCTACAGACGTTATTACAATTCATTTCTGTATCTTTGTGGTCTGTCACTTTGATGTTTTCCCTAGAAAATAGTGTTAATCACTTGCAGGTGACCAGGATTTCTGTTCAAGGAATGAAAGAAGATGTATTCATGCAGGTGGACACCAAAATCACAGTGGTTATATGGTCATTTTAAACATATTGCCTAAATACTTGTTTTTACTTTTATTTGCAATATGTATACTCCTCCAAAACTCTTCCAAAGAACTCTTACACATAATGAGGCCTTGGGGCTTATGTAGCTTTAAACTCATTTTCCATACATCAGTTTATTGTTATCATTTAACTTTAGGGAAAAAAGGAAAGTCTAAAACTTGTGTTGTACCTGCTTTAATGATATTAAGGCCCCTACAATTTTCTAACAATTTTGTTCTCTCTGTCTCTCAAAACTTGGTCTTTTTAAAAGATTTGTAGTAATGTATAAATAATAACTTTTATATTTAATTGTTAACTACACTTATAAGTGATTTATTATAGGTATTCATTAAATATTGAAGTTTCAGACCAAGATAAACTGTTATGAACCAAGATCTGTAAAGTGATGAACAGATGAAAATTTGAGATTTTTTTTAAACTTATAAATCATATTGATGAAAAGCTTTAAGCACAAACTTTGAAGTAAAAATTGTTATTGAACAGTTGTCTAAAGAACTAATCTTACGGTTTACAAACAGGACTTTTTAAATTTAATCTTTCCCTAAGAGTGGCTATGATAAAAGGGCAAAACTGCATCTACATAGCTCTGTGACCCCTCCTCTTTTTAGGTTTGTCGTGGAAAAAGTATTTTGATAATAAATTGAAGTTGTGAGCCCATTAGTTACTAAGCCTGTGTGTGAGCCATCCAGCTTTAGAAAGTACATTTATTTCTAAATAAGGATGGGAGACCTCCAGTAGACCTGCTTCTCGAATTCTGAGTCCTGTAGATTTCTGGGAGAGTAGTATGTCCGGTCCCCAATAAGGATTCATCTCTTGAGCTTTTATATTCCTCTCTTTCCCTACCCTTGGCTAGTTTCGCTCCCTTCATTACCTGATGAAGGCTTTACAAATGAGGTACAGTTCCATAACCTTTAATTTTTCTAACAAAATGTAAAAACAGAATTTCTATCCAAAATTTAGGTGTTAGTTTTCCTTCCTCTAGAAAAACTCCCATTGCCTTTACAAATCTTATTAAAAAATAGCATATTCTTTTTTTTCCTCATTGAGTTTATTGGTACCTTTTAGGTATACAGTACAGTTACATTCATCATTGGGACCTTGTACCTTTACATGACAGGTCTTGGTTCTCATATACAACACAAGTATAGAGGCCACTGAAATCACTCTCTTGGAAAATCCAAAACCAATAGCCAAGCACCTTTAAAAAGGTGGGGGGGGCTTGCCTTAGAAGGCTGCCCTTGTCATTTCAGTCCTATACTATCCAGAACCCTAATAGCATTCACCAAGTTTTCCTGTCTTATCTTTTAGATTAATAGAATCAGTAAGCATACATTCCTTCATGTGTGACTTCTTTCTTTCAGCCGTACATTTGTGACAGCCAACTACATTGTTACCTTGATTACAGATCTTTAATTTTCACCGCTATTGTGTTATTACACTATAATTCATTTATCCATCCTATGGTTGATTGGATCTTGATACACTTCTTGTTTCTGGCTATTAGAAATAATGTAACTATGAGTTATAAACTGTGTCTGTATATTAATATTTTTACTTGAAGCTTTAGTGGACTCATTTCCCCAAATATTTGCAAAACTATTATAATTATTGAAAATATAATGTCAGATTACCCTGAATATTTTTATCCTTCCCCCCTTTAATACAATCACCATTATCATGGATAACTCAAAGTATATTTTATGACTATACTTCTTCAACTAAGTGACATTTGTAGGTGAAATAATAGGACTTCCCAATGCTTAATAAAACAGCTGTCTGAGTTATTTTACTCTCATCTTCTCAAAACTACTGAAAAGGCAGAAGTGGAGAGTAATACAGATTATAAAAGGCCATTAGTGTCCCCACTGCTAGCTCTTGAAAACATTAAACTCCCACCCCTATAGAGCAACAACTCCAGTACCTGGATCCCTGATTTCTATGTAAGTAAGATTTTGGGCCGGGGTTATAGCTCAGCGGCTCCTCACCTGCCTGGCAAACACAGGGTCCTGAGTTCAATCCTTAAATCCCTCTAGACCACATTTTAGCCCAAAGAACAAGGACCAAAGATTTTTCAAGTTTTGGCGTATGCTCCTGTTAATATTAGGTATTTAAATAAGGAAAAGGCTTGCTAATTTTCTCAAAAGCTTTATCTTTCCTGTTGCTACAGTTAGCTCTTAAAGCACAAAACATCTGCTAGTTTGGAAAGAAGATAAAATCCACTCTGTCAAAGTAAGGATAATCAAAATTTTCTTTTTAGTTTTTGTTGTTGTTGTTTTATTTTGTTTTGTTTTTCTTTTTTTTTCTTTTTTTTTTTTTTTTTTTTT